CTTCGGCTTCGGCGTGGTATGAATCCTTCTCCTCCAAATCCCATCGACGCGCAAACAACGCCTAACCACACCACATACACAAACACACACACGACACACACAACACACACACCACACACACACACACAGTGCCTGCAATTGGTCGACGATTTGCAGGACACCCTCAAGGACACTGAGGTCAACCACCAGACGCTCTTCACCTATGGCTGGACCAGGAAGCAGTCCGGTATGCACCAGCTATCCATTTTTCATTTCGTTGACAACTTTCGTTTTGCGTTTCGTTTCGTTTTCGTTTCGTGTTTGGCTGACGACTGGTCGGTGTGGTGGCGTGGCGTGGCGTGCAGCTGACGTGAAGGCCTACAAGGCGTTCCAGCTGCTGTACCTGTTTATCGATCCCGACCACTACGACATCGACGAGAAGGGAAGCGACCTGCGCGGCGCGCTGCTCAAGATGACGCACACCATCATGCTCAAGGCCATCGCCAAGTACTGCTACATCTTCACCGAAGCGTTTGTCGAAGCCTTGGCCCAGTTCGCCCCCATCCCCATCCAGGTGCGCACCATTTCTTTCTATCTATCTATCTTTCTCTTCTTACTTGTCACTGTGTTCTCCAACACTTTCTTTCTTTCTTTGCACTTGTGCTGATCATCACTGTTTTCTTCGTGTCGTGTCGTGTCGTGTCGTGTGGATGAATGCAGCATCTCCAACGTGTGAACAACATGGCGCGGATGCTGCAAATGGTGAGGAACAACCAAATCTAGATCTACACGAAGGAACGATGATCGCCGGACCAAGCAGTTCCCCCCTCTTTCGTCTTCTCCCTCTCTTCTTTTTTTGCCTTTTATTCTTATTTATTATGGCTCCCCACGCACCTATTTTGTACCTCTCTCCGCCCAAACATATTTCACTCCAACTGTTTGCAGCACCTCCAGTGAGGGTAATGATTGGGCCACGGCAAGTTGTTGTGACCAACAAGGTTCTACTTACGCTCGCCAAATCAGTAGCCGCACCGGCAAGTGGACTTCGCGAACAAGACCACACCAGACATCAACAAGAAGGAATCAATCATTTACTGGGTGCTGGACAAAGTCTGCCGCCCAACGTGGCCGACCAGTGCCGCCTGCCGCCGGAGCAGGTCAAGCAGCTCATCGCGGCCTTCCACGAGGCCAAGCGAAGAAGAAGAGCGCCAAGAAGAAGAGTAGCAAGAACCAGAAGATCGAAAAGACCGGCTTTATCGAAGTATTTTGTGCGCTTGAGAAGGCGACCCCCGACACCTCCCTCCTACTGATCGACGGGGCAGTCAGAAACACACTCTTCGCCACCCTCAGATGGCTATTGGCAGATTGGTGCACAGCTACTACCCTCACCTGTTAATGAGAGTGTGAGAAAGAACAGTGCACAAGGAATGGCGTTGCGCTTCAGCACGCCCATCACCATATGGCTGGATTGTGCTGTGGCAACTGTAGCGGACCAGTGCCTGGCGTGAAAGAAAACAACGATCACACGCGAGATGGGACGTGGACGGCACTGGCGAAGTCGAAGTGCGATGGCATGGCTTGTGAGGAGATAGGCACGCCAGCTTGGCAAATTCAAAGCAGGTGTCGGTGCGACTCTCCCGGCGCCCTACGCACCCAAGCTGGGGTTACGAACTGCTGGGTAACGGTAGGTCTGCGGACAGAAACTACCAATAGGGAAATAGCTCGTATCCACGGCAATGGAGGTCGCCGTGTGGCAGAGCCGTAAACCGAGAGAGCATCAGCGAACCGGAAGAGAACCAGCTGTCGATGGTGGATCTTCTGCCAATCAGCAGGCGGCGGACAAAAGTCCTCGTCGACAAACACAAATTCTGGGCTTACCGTTCGCCCGTAAACGAGGAGACACACCCGCGGCTCAAACCAAGCCGGCCATAAAAGCCAACGCATACCCTTCTCCTTTTTGTTCTCTCACCCCTGTACCACTACCCCACTACCCCACACTATCTAAATTATGGCGCGCTCCGCCCTCTTCGGTGCCGTCGTCCTGCTGGCGCTGCTCGCCGTCTACGCCACGGCCTCGCCGTCTACGCCCGTGCTGGTGGTCCCCACCCAGTCCGGTAACGTCCAGGGCTTCGTACAGAACGACCTGGCCCGCGCCTTCCTCGGTATTCCCTTCGCCGACCCGCCGCAGCGCTTCGGCGTGGCCGCGCCCGCGTCGCCCTGGAGCGGCGTCTACAACGCGACCGCGTTCCCCAAGCCCTGCATCCAGTCGTCGACGGCCGGCGTGGAGGACTGCCTCTACCTCAACGTGTTCACCCCCAAGAACGCCAAGGCCGGCGACAAGCTGCCCGTCATGGTGTGGATCCACGGTGGTCGCTACTGGACCGGCCAGACCGACCAGTACCAGGGCCAGTGGCTCTCGGGCAACGGCAACGTAGTCCTTGTCACCATTCAGGTACCGAGCTCTCTCTTTGCTAGCTTTCATGTTTTTTTGTTCCGTCGCCTTCGCTCTTTCTTCTCTCTTTCCGTCGCTTCGTTCTTCCGGATGATTGTTTTTCTTAACTCCTACTTGGTTCGTCGTATGAATATTACAGTACCGCCTGAACACGTTCGGTTTCTTCAACCTCCCGGAGCTCGCCGAGACTGGCAGCACCAACGTCGGCTTCCAGGACCAGATCCTCGCCGTCGAGTGGGTCAAGAACAACGTCGCCAACTTCGGCGGTGACCCCAAGGAGATCACCCTCTTCGGCGAGAGCGCCGGTGGCAACGCCGCCCTGCTCCACACCATGGTCCACAAGTACTCCGACCCGGCCAACTACCTCACCTACGCCCAGAACGTGATCCTCCACTCGACCTGGCAGTGGGTGCTCCCCACCCTCGCCCAGCAGCAGGCCGCCTCGCTCAAGTGGGCCGCCAGCAAGGGCTGCAACCAGACCACGACCGCCGCCGTCCTGGCCTGCATGCGCGCCCTGCCCGCCACGAGCATCGTGTCGACCTCGGGCCTGGTCAACTACTTCCAGCCCTCGGTCGACGGCGTCTTCCTGACCAGCCAGCCCTACAACCTGATCAAGAACGGCGACTACAACACCGACGTCAACGTCATCATCGGCTACAACGCCGACGAGGGCAACTACATGGCCTTCA